AAAAAAAAAATCTTTAAAAAAAAATGTGGAGGTAAAATTTGAATTCTGACACCAGAAGTGACCCCACTGATGAATTTAAGAAGATGTGATCTGAGACAGAGGTGGAGTTTACATTAAGAAACCTTCAGACAGCAAAGAGTCAAAAGACATAACCACTACATTCTGTAAGAAGACTTGAGAGTTCTACCTCAAAAATCCTTCAAATCCACCCCCCTTTCTCTACCTCCATTGCCACAATACTCCAGTCAGCACCAACATCATCTTGTCCAGACAACAGCAATAACCCAAGGGATGAGCTAGAGGAGGGGCGGCTTGAGGGGGCTTGTAGAAGGGGTAAACGTCTGTTATCACTTGTAAAAGTGAAACGGTATAAATGTAACTCTTCAGATTTTTGTCTCAGGAAGCAATGCACTTTTTGTGTGAACAATCCATGAGCAGGAAGTGGTGAGAATACTTTAAAGGTTTATTGAATTGCTCATTTTAGTTATCTGATCATCTTGATAAATGTAGGGCAAGCAACAATTTTGCCTTGGTTTTTCTGGTTTACCTTTGTGTGAACATAAAGTACACAGCTGCTCCTGACCTTATCCCACCTTGCACATATGTGTAACCCACAGACATCTCTCTTTAGAAGTAAAATGTGCTCGAGGAGTTTAACTTTTCTTTCTTACTGTTCATACAGCTCCACCCAGATGAGCTCCCACATACCCATTCCTATCGTCTCTTATGTTGTGAGCTGTGTTCTGAGTTTATGAGCCCTGGAAAATTCAGGTGGCATCATCTGAACCACTCGCTCTAACTGGTAAAAGTTGAAAACTGTCAATGAGGCCAGTTTAAAATTTATAATTTGACCAGAAATGAAGAAGAATTATAGGTAATGACTAAAATAAACTTCATTTGACGGTTAAGGACAGACATTAGGTGTCCAAAGTGCTGATACAACTTAGGAATATATCCGTTGGATGAATGCTTTACCAGTTAACCTAGATGCTTTAAGAAATGAAAAATAGACAAGAATAAGGCCTAGACAGTGGAATTTATTCTTACTATAAGAACTATTTACTAAAGTTTATTACAGCTAGTATGTATGGCCTATCACAGGAAAAAACCCCACAATTCTATACATTTCCCAAATCAAGTGAAAATAGTTTTCATCACGAACAGTTTCTGTGATATGTGATTAGGTTTGTGTGGGTAGAGAGAGATATTCAGCAGTTTATCAGTTAGGCAGGAAAGTCCCCACAAAGACTCACTTACACATCCTATTCCTTTGGGTGTATGAAGTCAACCCAACGAGCAGGTTATGATTGTCTAATGTCTCTGCCCCCTTCTGTGTCTGAGACTCTGTGACTCACCGGGGCTTCCACCATGTTGGGCTTGCTGTTCCTCAGGGTCTTGACTGCATGGAACACATCCACCACGTTTTGCCGCTTCACCATTTCAACAACGATGCCTATAGCACAGAACATACCACTTCGCCCACCACCATTTCTGGAAGCAAAGAAAGCCAAGGCATTTTAGATAGCAGCTTTTAGTCACCAGAGGTCACACAATCTTGTAGGTTGAGGAAATGAAAACATGATCTTCATTTTTTTTCCATTTTGTATTAATTTGGCTCCATTTGTACGCGTGTATGTGTAGGTGGTAGAGCACAGGGACACGTGAGGATGACATTAGCTCTGCAGCTTATGCTCAGGAACAGGCTGCTGCGACTTCGATCCCTCGAAATTTTGGTACATTTGTACGCTGTGTACATCAGAAAAGTGGTTCCAGGTAGTGTTCGAAAGAGTTTAAATCATATGATAACTATATAATAATGGATGTTTAAAAAATCTGAAAACGAAAATTAGAGACTCAGGAGACAGGAAGACTATTTGGAAATGCTATCTGTGGAGATCCCTAAGATGTGAGCTGAGTACTCTTTAACGTGGAAAATAGGAAGGCTGGTGAGGAAGTGAGCACCAGGGCCCCCACACGGCCCAGCCGAGGCGCCATACTCACAAGCAGTGGATGATGGTTCGGCCCTCCCCTTCCTCGCATTCCTCCTGCCATTTTTCCACCTGCAGTATCAGTTTCAAAAATGACCGTTTGGAGCCTGGCACTTCTCGGTGAGAGGCCCACCCTAGATACTGGAACTGCTGTACCATCAGATAACCTTCTTGTGGCTGTAGAGGGAAGAGCATTTTTCTGTAAATAAGTTGGGACTCGAATTTTTACTAAAAAGTGAAGATGAATACATGTTTACACCATGACATAAATGCCATTTATGCTGGAGTGAGTCTAGCTGGTAAGTCCAAAATATGTACATACTAGTACAGAAACATTCTAAGTTACAGAAGCAAGAAACATGAGAATTACCTTTATATAAGCTTCTCCCTCACACCCCATATCCAATAATCAAGCACACACCTTAAATAACTTTCAAATTCTTCTCCTCTTTATCATGGCTGACATCATTGCATTGGCCCAATCACCAATTATGATAATTGCTTCCTAGTTGGTCTCCTTGAATAAACTTTGATCTCCTTCCAAACCATTTTTACTGCAGCATCATGATTATTTTGAAATGCAAATATGATCTTGTCATTCCCCTGCTTTAATGGCTTCCAAATGATCTTACATAAAATCCAAATTGCTGCAGTGGCTTAAAAATTTCTACACGATATGGCTCCACTTCCTTCCCCAACCTTCCTTTTACTATACCACATTATTACACATTGGCCTTCTATTAGTCCATTCATTAAGTCATTTCTTGCCTGGGGAACTTTGCACAAACTCTCCGTTTGGCCTCACAGATCTCCTTGTTTGTGCCTCTCAATCCCAAAACACCGTGATCAATTTGTCTTGGGTTTGCCTGGGACTCTTCTGGTCTTTGAACTGAAACTCGTTGTGTCCTGGAAAACCTCTCTGTCCTGTGAACACCAGGATAGTTGGTTCTCCCACCCCAAATAGCTCCTACCGATTCTTCAAATTGTGCCTCAAAGATCATTACCCCAGTGAAGTCTTCTCTAGTCACCCAGCTATGTCAGATCACCCACTCTGGATTTCGTCCTTTTTCTCTAAAATTTCTCATATTTGTAAATAAATGGTTATACAATGACTTGTTCAGTGCTTATCTTCCCTGATAAAATACAAGTTCTTTAAAGATGAGGAAATCTCTCTCTCTCCCCTAAACTCTGTGTCACTAGAACCTAGCAGAATACTGTCCAAAGAATAGTACTGTTAAATGAATGAACCAAAACATTAAGGCCTCATAAGAAAATGTTAAGAAAGTATTTGCAATACATGATAAGCTGTATCATAGCCATCAGATTTGAATTTCCACCTGGCAAGGGCTCCCGCATCACAAGGACCTACTAGAACAACACCCAACTTCTCATTGGTGCATATTAAATATCTCATGAAGTGCACGATATTAACCAAGACTAGAAATAGAAAAAAAAATCGTGCACTAATAAGAACCAGAACACCAAACATAGGGGAAGATAAATAAACAAATATGCCGACGAAAAAACACAGATTTCAGTTCCCATCCTTAGAATATTTTTCATATAAACAGCTCAATAAAAAGACAAGTCTTACTTTCTGAGTTTAGTGCTATGGTTTCTCAGCTAAAATATTACTAGAACCATAATGGAACAGATGTGCAGACATAATGAGATTCCACTTAAATTAACATCTAAGATATGCATGGATATTATGACATGATTTGAAGTTATCCTTTTTTTCTCCACTGAAATGAGCGACAGAATTGGCTATGACTATATCCTCTGCTTATAGTTATACATATAGACTTATTAACCAGAAACACATATAGCCATTTTGATATGAAAACACCGAAACATGACAATCTGAATCACACACTTAAAATTATACACATACATAAAGCTGGTGCACTAAAAACAGAGTAATCCTCTTTAAAAAGAGTAATTCCATGGAAGCTACTAATGATTTCTTTTCAAATTCTGTTTGCTATTTGGCTACACAATCTAAACAGTTTTTATTAGCACTTTTTTTTTTTTTTGCTTTTTTGGAGGACAGACCCCAGACTTAATTTTATCATTGAGTGTAAAATATATGAAGGCTCAAGGAAAGAAAGATTTCTGAGAAACACAGCTGCTCCTTTGCTCCTGGGAAAAGGGGTACCAGTGCTGCTTCTACAATTCTGGGCAGAGCCAGATCCTGGGACATTCAGCAAGATGAAATTACAGGTGAAGGAGAATCAATGATAGCTGTGATTTACCTTTTCCCCTCATGTGTGGGGTTCTCCCTTGTATGCAATAGTGACATGGAATCTTTCTATAATGGCTGATCCGACAAATCCCTTCCTCCTGAGGTAAAGCCTTTTAGTTATCATCATTATTATTATGTACTTACTTTTCAATCATATGCCTCTTCTGGGCTGGATATCAATACTAATAAAACATGTAGTTGACCTTGATGAAAGTCCACATATGCGCAGAGACCAGGCTCAGACCATCAAACTCAGTTGAGTCAATGCATCTGAATTTAGTTTCTGATGTAATACATTAAGTAACTGACCAGGACAGCCAGCTTCCTGCATTTCTAAGCAGAAATGTTTTTGGGAATGCATTTTTCTTCTAATACTAAGGTATAAGATGATTACTACCTTTGGGACTGATTATGTAACACCTATTAACTCCACTCTTCCTGTTGTCTGATTGGAATGATACCCCAACATGGTTATGTTCAGTTGCTCTGGATCAGCTCACGTAAAATATTAATGACTTACTCTTGTTAGATTGCATATCCTAAAAATCCGGTTTATCACATCACAGTCCATTGAACAAGACATACACTCCACTTGGATAGGGCCATATCGCAACATCCCTTCCTCTGGCCAGTACTGAGGACACCCCTAGATGATGAATGTTTTTGGGGGAAAAAAAAAACAAAATGAGCATTATTTTTCTCCAATGAGGGTAGTATGAAGCGGATTTTAACATCTTATTACTACTTCATTAGGTTGTGAATGAGTACACAGAAGCAACTCCCAGCCATTAACCTGGGACAAGTCGACTTCGTTCAACATCACGATGGAGGTACAGCCATAATCGTACACTAATCTCCAGAAGTCTTTCACAGTGTTTGGCAGAGGGTACTGTGTGACAATGAAAGCGGCTGGTTGCCTGTAGCTCTGTGAAGAAACAAGGTAGATGGGAAAACATGAGAACTTAAAATGAATGATCAGTCGTACAAGCCAATTCAACACATCTCAAGGTGGGACCAGGTAAGGTGTAACGGCCCCACGTGGAGAGGGAGCTGGACGCTGCCTAAGCCATGGAATAAGAGATCTGGGCCACTGGAATGTACTGGAGCCGCTGCTTTGTCAATCTGAAGGCAGGGCTTCAAAGTCTCAACAGCAATTCAAGTTTTACCTTGCTGAGAGAAGTAAATATAGGCCAAAAACAAAAGAAGAAACTAAAGAACTTCTTAAGGTTAAGATCCTCCATGAGGTACCTGTGGGCTCTTTCAGTTTTTCAAAGGTAATCAATCTGAGAGGCTGAAGGCACAAAATTCCCCAGTGTGTATGTAGGTATATCTGTGTCCCTATCTATCTATCATCTATCTATCTTCTATCATTTATCAACATCTATCAACATATACATATATATATTTATATATATTTCAATATTGTGTATTATATCTATATTTATATATAGATATAAATCTGATTTATATCTATATATGAAACTGCTGGGTTCTCTTCCATTTCAAGTAAGAAAAACCACATATGCCTCAAACTTGTGTGCTTTTACATTATATGGATATTATCAGCACATTCTGCTCATCTTGCAGGCCCATTCCAGTTTCCTGGGCATTTCTAATGTACATTCATGGTCAGAATGACAGTTTCAATCACTTAAGATTTTTCTTAAAGTAAAATGCACTTCTTGGCTCCACCTATAAGGGAATGGCTCCTTTTTTTACCAAGTGCCCCCTGACTGGGACATGACACATTATCTCCATCCAGAAGGAGAGAGTATACTCATGTGACCTGGGCAATGTGTCATTCTGCAGACTAATGATCTATATTTCTATGTATTAAATAGTTTGTAAAAAAAATGTCTAGACAGTTGCCTGAGATAGATTTCCTTCATGCTGATAAAATTGTCAGTGATCCCCTAACTCATTTGTACCATTTAACTCTTTTAGTTTTTCAAGTGTCTTAACATCAGTGTAGAAACAGATTCTTGAACATTGATCTTATCGCCATTTGGGAAATGCTGCTAACCATGGCATTCAGCTCCATGGAAGACAGTGGGATAAATCTGAGTGCTGACAGTTCAAATGGCTGTTTCTAAATGACCTCAAGCCTCACAGAGTTACACCTGCCTCTGAGGTGAGTGTCTCCTAAGAAAGTATGAAGCCTCATGAAAAAGGGTCAGAAGAATAACTTTCCTTCCAATCACATGTCTGTTCCATGGGAAGGCAAGCTATTTACTCAGTTTTTGAGTCACAGGGGAGGGGAGATGAATAAGATGATGTGAGGGACACAGGTGCTTTCCTAGATCTTCCCTCGGTAAGGACAAGAGCACATCTGAGGCTTTGAAATCACAGAATCCTTGGCCTTGCCTCCTAATGCTTCACAATCATAGCACAAGGGTACAGAACACTGAGGATGTTGCTAGAGGGTAGAGGGAGTGGGGAGTGCTGACCAGTGAGCTCTGTTCTTATAAGACAAACCAAACCTAACTTTTCTGAGGCCCCAACTACCACTACTGAATCCACCAGACGGTCTCAATTATGAAATGTATCTATGTTGAATCATAGGGAATTAAGCAGAGAGTAGAAACAGGTAGAGAACAAGGTTCAGTCTTCCTGTTGACTAGAAAACAAACTGGAAATGAAGAAAAATTTGACAGCAATCGATGCCAAAGACAAAAAATGCCTCAGACCTATGCCTCATCAATCTCTTTCCTAACAGTATTTTCTTCTTCCCCTTTCCACACAGCCTTTTAAAATTCCAAATCTAGACTCAGAAACAAAAAGGTCTTGTGTGTTTTCTCTGTATTTAGTATATTTGTCTTTCCAGACAATTAAAATGGGAAGAAAAAGATAACAATGAGGATCAGGTGTGATTTCAGTGGATGTGATTAATGACAAGGCAAGATTCTGGTCATAGCAAGAATGGGAACTTTTCACTTGAGCTTGTCTTTAGACTATTCTGCTCTGCAACATAAAAAGAGCAAAGTAACTGGCTAAAAGACTAGTCTCAGAAGCAGAAAGTAGGCTTTCTAGGTCTCTACTATCAGGAGCTAATTTTCGAAAACACAATAGGAGCAACAATGCAGAAAGCTTCATTATTAGTCACACAGGCATGGACCCTGACTTCTAATTTCTCCTGGCTATGGTTCTATAGATGAAAAGGCAAAACCTAGAAATGTTTACAAATGAAGATGATGAGCTGTTTAAAAGGATTCTGAACCTGGAGAGCCTTCTTGCTTCTTTCCAAGGTAACCCAGCAAGGTAGCCAAGGACTGACTTAAAACTCTCTCCCCATGTTGTTCTGTCTATGGGACGCTAACCTGCTGAGGATATGCTCTACCACTTACACTCTGTGATGGTTGGAGTGGGGCAAGATAGTTTTTTCATTAACGATGGATGTATTAACATGTATCCTCGGTGCCTTCTCCTAGTTATTTATAAAGGGTCTCTAATAATTATTGGCCAATAAAACAAGTTAGCCATAAATTACTGGAACATTAAATGTCAGAGATAAAGATTTCCCAAATTAACACAACTTCCGTAAGATAAGGCATTATGTGGCTTCAAAAATTCATTCCTCACCTAACATTCAAAATACATAAGCATGATTTTCTTTTCTGAAAATAATTAAGATGGAAAATATGACCTGCAGGTATTTCCTGTACAGAATATAATAACTGACAACCAAGCTCCAAACTTACAATGGGGCCTAAAACTTAGAGTTCCTAAGAATCCCTGTAGGGGAAATTCAAAATCATTCTCAAAAAAAAATTTCCAAGTTTCCTTTCTAGGCCCTGTTAATTTTCTTGAAAAGAAAACCAGCCGGTGTTCACCATATCACGTAGCTTTTCATGACACTTCACACTAACAAAGACAGCAGTCTCTTACGTCCATAAGAGCAGCATTGATGTAGTTACTACTCTCCCCATCAATTGTAATTAAAAAAGGCAGACATCTGTCAGGTGGCAGCATGTCCATAAAACGATTCTTGTCATGATTCCTTGGCAGGCACGCTATACTGCAGTCTTCAGCTTGTAGTCGAGGGGTGACTGAATTCAAAGTCTAAAAAGAAAAGGGAACCTAGGTTAAAAGCAAGTGACCCATTTAATAGCACAGAACAGATCCATCAAGTATCTGGGAGGCCAAGTACAAAGGGAAGGATTTGTACAAGGCGATGGCATTTGCCATGATGACAGGCTGATAGACTTAGTTAAAGCTAATGAAGCCTGAGAAGTGACAAAGAAACAATATACACATTGTTCACTGTGTTTCCTAAAAGGAAAAGGGAAGCCAAAAACCGTCGCTACCTGCAAAAGGCACTGCCTAACCAAAGAAAACAGAAGTAGAGCGGCCCATAACGATGACCCATCATCAAAGTTGGAAACTATCATCTGTAGTAACATTTTGGCATGCCATATTTGAAAACAGGGTAGAACAACCTAGAAAGAGCACTGCACAAAGGATCAAAGTATTAGGTGTCCAGAGCTACTCTTGACTTCACATTCACACACCTTCAGGGATGTTTTAAGGGCAGTGAAAACATTTGGGGTTATTTAGAGACAATGTTTAGTACAAACTTCAGCTATTATTATTAATGCGCTTGATCTCACCTTGTGAGTGACACAGAAGGTTAAAATCCGTAAGTCTGCATAAAAAAAGGTTGTAAACATACACAAACCACCACCAAGTTTGATTTTATGATACCTTTCCCCATACTCTTCCCTGAGTCTGAACTCATTTTGCAGATATGAGCTCATTAATACAATAGTAATATGTATAATGAAAGAGACAGGGTCAAAAGTTATAAGTTTGACCTGAAAGACCTTCCTTAGAGGAATTAATAATGCCCAGAACACACTGTAATAAGTTGCTCATAAAAGGAGCTCTAGAAATAAGTAAATACCTGGAATTCATCTTTGAGATGTGAAGAGTTAGTCTGCGAGTCTATTCTAATCATATCAAAATAGGCAGCTTTAAATTCACAGACAGGTATGGCAGTTTCTCCACATAAACAGGCTTCTAAAATGGCATCATGAATAAAAATGTATTGTTCCTAAGAAAGAAAAAAAAAATCAAACTATTTTAATAAAAATCTTCTGTCATCAAAGGTAGAGAATACAAAGAATTTTCTCTATGTAGAAACATTAATAATGTTATCAATATTTTCCTATATGACTTGATGAGGTAATACTGATTCTATGTGAAAAACATTGTTTTTGATAAATGTTGGAAAGCAAAAAAAAAAAAGCCATCAGAGATCAATCAACAAGCAGCATACCTCTGTCTGGACCATATTGATACGACGAGATCTTAAGGCTTTGACACAGTTGTAGATGTCAACAACACCCTCTCTTTCAGCCATGTCCAGCATGATGTCGATCACAATGTAACACCCAGTTCGTCCAGCACCAGCACTGAAAAAAATTAAACAAATCTAAAGAATTGAAAGACGTATGTTCTTGCAATCTTATTAAATAAAGATCCTTTCAACTGTCAGATAGGTGGAATCAAATTGATTTAACAAACTGCAAGATGTAATTTGTATGTTATATAAAACACTTATTTAATGTACAAATAACTTCATGTAGAGTATTTGCTTTGGTGCAAAATGAAGACTGCAGCATGAGTTTGAAATTAAAACGATAAACTTTGTATATCAAATTGTGTTTTACAAATAACATATATATGTTGTTCAAGTTCCACAGCTCTCATACAAGTCTTCATTCTTTGGAAATCTAGTGCACGTGATTTTAAGCTCATAGAATTGGCCAAGGGGTGGATTTGTGCTTTAAGATTTAACCTCAAAAATATTCTTACTCATATACTTGCGGGTCCTCTGGCAAAATGCAAGAATGCTGGCTCACTGTTTTAGTCTGACAGACTCTTGTAAATACCAAGGCAAAGAAAATTAATTCCAAAACATTTACTGGGAAATCTGAGGAGTCACAATTCAGAGGAAGTGCTAATGGTGACGGTGGGGAGGGAAATGGTGGTTATCAATGAGGAGAAGGCCAATAGTAGAAAGAATATTTGGTGATCTGAAGGAAAAATGAAAATGAATAGTTAGGTATAGAATATAATTCTTAACAGGTCACAAAGATAGCCACTATCTTACTGTATTTAATTCAGTCATTGAATCTTAACATACCACTGATTGTTTTACCTCCTGGGAATGTTTCTTCAATTTTTAAAAAAGATTTATTTATTTATTTTAGAGAGAGAGAATGTGAGGGGGAGGGCAGACAAAGAGGGAGAATCTCAGAGACTCCCTGCTGAGCGGGGAGCCCCATGTGAGGCTCGATCTCATGACCCTGAGATCATGACCTAAGCCAAAATTAAGAGTTGGACCCTTAACTGACTGAGCCACCCAGGCAGCTCTCTTCAATTTTATATATAAAAATCAACAGTGCAAATAAGATATAGCTGGGATTTTGGGGAGGGGGGAATTTCACTTGGTAGTCAGCTTCCTCTTTTTTATAAATTCACAGATATCTGAGTATAAGTGAAAAATGACACTTCTTGTTTCAAGAGAGTATCTGAGAATCTTGGAGCACTTCCGAAGCAAGCAAATCATAGGAAAGTAAACCTCTATGATAAGTCAAGACACTCCTGAATTGAAAACCCATTTATCTCATTTTCTAAATGCATAAATTGGCTATTAACATTATTTCTTTGTTGTCCAGATTTGGTCACTTCTCTTAAACATACTGTTCTTTAAGAAATTTAAGTAAAAGATATTGTGGGTATCTCTCTCTCTTTCCTTTTTTTTTCTTTTTCTTCTGCCTACCATCTTCTCAATCACTGTTCCCAGGGTTTGAGACAGGAAAGCAACTGAAGAGTACATCAGATTTCCTGAGGAGGACTGAACTGAAGATTTTTTTTCAGCGTACACAGTATCTGATCCTTATGGGATGCCTTACTTTTATGTCAGTCTCTGTGCTGTTTTCCCTCTTCCATATGTGGTCATTTAAATTCTGAATAGGTCGGATTTTCAGAAAAAAAAAAAATGCTTAAGTACAACCTATTATGTAGCTTGGAGGGGATGGTATTTGAGAATGGTGTGCAGCATTTAGGAAAAGCTTTTCAGATTCAGTACATATTTTTCTGTTCACATCTCAAAATGAGGCCATGTAATTTGCTTTTAGTGTCTCTGAATGCTTGTTTTAAGAGGAGTTTCTAATCAGAAGGGAGCCTGGATATAATGTTCACATTTTTCTGGCATATATTTGCTGGATCTCACTGATGCAGTTTTTAAGGTCCTCTGATGGATGGCTCTTTTTTTTTTTTTTTTTTAAATTCTTAAATAGCTGTTTTACAGCACAAATTCTTGCAATTTAGGCCATTTAGTAACTCTGTATGTCTCAAATTTAGTTTTAAAAGCTGGGTTTCTATTGGGAATTTACTAGATTGGCAAGAAATCTCTATTTTAACCTCCCATTCCATACAATATGGGATTTGCAAAAGTGATAGGAAAAAAAAAAAAAACAAACCCAAACACAGATGTTGCCGCTAAAAGACAGAGTTTCCACACACCCATTTGTGAACAACACTACACACATTAAGATGAATGTATTTATTTTTTAAGTTTCTATTTTATATCCTCCTTAGAGCTAACTTTTTTTTTTTAACCTTCCCTGTAATACATGTAAGCCGGAACCTTGTAAGCATGGACTAGTTTTGTGCTTGAAGGCCTCGTCTTCGTACTTTAAAAAAGCTTGCTGTATACAAGTCCAGAGCGTCTGGTCCAGCACTCACCTGCAATGCACAACGATGGGGCCGGCACTGGGAGGGTTGGAGAACTTCACTCGCCGGATAAAGGAAAGGAGGCCCGTGGCATGGTATGGTACTCCGTGGTCAGGCCAGCCGGTGAAATGGAACTGTTTCACTTCACGGATCTCATTGTAGCCCCTCTGTGCAAACATGTAAACAAGTGTTTTCAAAAGACCCCAAGTAGGTGGCGCCTGGGTGGCTCAGTCATTAAGCGTCTGCCTTCGGCTCAGGTCATGATCCCAGAGTCCTGGGATCGAGCCCCGCGTCGGGCTCCCTGCTCCGCGGGAAGCCCACTTCTCCCTCTCCCACTCCCCCTGCTTGTGTTCCTCTCTCGCTGTGTCTCTCTCTGTCAAATAAATAAACAAAATCTTAAAAAAAAAAAAAAGAGCCCAAATAAAGCCATTCAACACCAGTCATAGGCACTAGACCTGGTTGACAATGAAAAAAATAAAAAATGAAGAATCTATCAAAGATCAGGCTTTTTTTGAAAAAGGATGCTAGCCTGACACAGTCGAGGAACTTACCTTTCTTGTCAGATACCTGCCAAAGAAAGACAATGAGAAGTCTTGCTCAGTTCTTTAACTCTGTGTAAATTTTTATTTACCTTGACAGTTTGTTCCTTACTTGGAATGACAGCACAGAAAATTATTAGGAGAAAAGGGAAAAAAACAGGAAAGCTAAAATGCTGCCCTGTTGACCCGAGGCACTGAGTTTTCGAGGGGTAAATAAAAGCAACTTTCTAGCTTCTCACCTCAAAAAGATTTTAATGCCTTGCTTATCCATGTTGAAAATTGTTTTGAAGCACAGCATGCAGGGATTTTCCAGGACAGTGCTACTTTAGATTGTTTTGTAAAAATATAGAGACAACTAAACTGTTCTTTGGGCAAACGATTTTTCTTAATTCTGAGAAATAATGCAGCACCGAGTATTATTTATAGTAACAAAAGTACAAAATGAAAGGGAAGCATCATTTGTAATGCCTCTTTCCTATTGGGTTAATTTAAGAGAACTTTTAAATGCACACTTCAAAACTTTTCCCTTTTGGTTAAAGAAGCCTGTAGATTGTGTTAGCACAGCTTAGAGAGCTTACATAGAATGTTACAGAGTTTATTTTTAAGAATCCACATTTGTAGCCCCCAAATCCCCACAGTAATCTATATAATTCCAGTGGCACTATGAGCTATCTGTGGTATCTCCATCTCACTTGTTCAATCAGAACGGGGAGAAAAATGTCAGGAAATAAATGAACCAAATTGAGAAAGTTTAGATTCTGTCCTATAGAGATAGACCAACCAATAGCACCAAAGCCAGTGATCAGGTCTTATTATTCTTTCTAGATCTAGTCCCTACATAATAACCTACACAAAGTAGGGCTCAACATATAATTATAATAATGACAATGATAAACACTCTCATGGAATCATACAAATAGAAAAATCCCTTTCTTTACTACTTTTCAAGTCAACTCCAGTGAGGAAGATCATAAATTGTTCTAAGACCTGATTTCAGATAGTTACCTCCCCTCCTCCATATTAATTCTTTTACTGGAGGTGCTTGCTCTAAGAGCCTTGTTCTTTTTAGTAAACTTCAGTAAAGAGTTCTTTTTAATATCTGGCAAGGCATGTTCCCTTACTGCTCTTTCTATTTAAATTTTCCTATGTAATTTTCAAATACATGGTTTTCAAAAAAACCAAACTACTCTTTTCCAGTTCTTAATAGCAAGAAGTCAAATTAAAAATAAAAATCCAATGATGTTCCAATTAGTATGACATTAACTACAGAAAGTGGTATTAATATAAAACATTTCCATTCTGGGCCATGGTGCATGTCTCCACTTACTAATTCACATCATATTTTATGTCCTTTAATACACTTTTGAGAATTTAGTCACTTAGGACCTACATCTCTGTTGAATTTATTCCTAGATACTTTAAAATTTTTTTATTATTGTGAAAGAGATTTTGTAATGTCTACTACTGTTTCCTGCTAATATACAGAAAAGCTATCACTTATGAATATTTATCTCGAATTAGCCACTTCAATGATTAGTAGTTCCATTTTAAAATATTTCTAGTTTTCTTGGTATAAAATAACTTCATGTTAAAATAATCTTATCTTTTCTAACAGTTAAGCAATTTATTCCTTTTGTTGTCTTATTTCATTTACTAGAACTTCCCCAAATTGAATACTAGTGAGACTGATTATCCACATCACACTCCTGATTACATAGCAATACCTTTAGGGTTTTCACTCCTTAATATGCATGCTATTAGTTACTGTTGAAGGAGAGAGAAAGAGAGAGAGATTTAAAAAAAGACAGAGAGGCAAGGCCCCTGGGTGGCTCAGTCAGTTGAGTGTCCACCTTCGGCTCAGGTCATGATCCCGGAACTCCGCTCAGTGGGGAGTCTGCTTCTCCCTCTGCCCCTCACCCTGCTTGTGCTCTCTCTCTCTCTCACTCTCTCTGTCTCTCTCTCAAATAAAGAAATAAAATCATTAAAAAAAAGAGAGAGAGAAGAGCTTGAGAGAGTGCCATCTTTACCTGGTTATGTTATCACAGTTATGCTAGCTTTTAAAATATATTTAGCTGGTTTTAATGGTATTCTATGGTCTAAACAATTTTATTAACATACGTATCAACTGTTCTCTAAAAGCTAAAGAAACCTCAACTATAAGACCATAGTGAAATTTCACTGGTAAATTTTAAGATTCTATTTTCTTCTATCATCTGTTCAGGTTTCTAAGTCTTCTTGGGTCAAATTTTGAGAATCAGTATTTACTCTACTAAATATAAGGGTATTTAGACTAAAATCTCTGTCTCTAAGTTTATATGCAATTTTTTTTTATTGCTTTCCTAACAGCAAGTATAACTGCAGTTATATCTTTTTTGTGTTTTCTAATATATATATATATTTTTAAAGATTTTATTTATTTATTCATGAGAGACAGAGAGAGAGGCAGAGGGAGAAGCAGGCTCCCAAGGAGCAGGGAGCCCAA